TCGACCCGCTCCCAAGTCCGCAAAAGCTCAAGACCAAACCCTAGTCCCTAAACCCTAAACCCTAAACCCTTCAAACCCTTGGACTTCCAAATGTCTGCAGACCCGCAAACCCTAAACCCTAAACCCTAAAACAGCGGTTTAGGACGTGCCCCGGACCCTTTTCCAAATCCGCAAAAGCTCAAGACCAAACCCTAAACCCTAAACCCTAAACCCGAAACACCCATGCGCAAACCCCAAACTCTGAACTCTTCTCCGCAGACACTCAGGCTCAAAGCCTAAACCCTAAACCCTAAACCCTAAACCCTAAACCCTAAACCCTAAACCCTAACTCACTTGCCCATCCTTGTTTTCCATACTTCAAATGGCATCCCCAGAGTCGCGGCCTCGACGCACTGGAGGACTGCCCCTGCAGTGCAGCAGGACATAAACCCTAAACCCTAAACCCTAAACTCTAAACCCTAAACCCTAAACCCTTAACCCTTAAAGGTATGTGGCAAGGGTTTAGGGTTTACGGGTCAACTCACCTTTTGCCAAGTCGGCGGGGCCTCCAGTCTTCTGCTGCCCCATCGTTGCTGCTGCCTGCTAGGGTTTAGGGTTTAGGGTTTAGGGTTTAGGGTTTAGGGTTTGTGTGTGGAAGCCTTTGCTGCTCTGTGCCTCTGGGGGGCCCCTGCTGCTCCCCTGGCTGTATGATAACTTGAAGAGCTTCACCCACACTAAACCCTAAACCCTAAACCCTAAACCCTAATTCCTGGGAAACTTCAATTGGCCGGATAGTTCTTCTGTCGCCGCGCTGCTGCTGCTGCTGCTGCTCCCGTGCTGCTGCTGTTGCTGCTGCTGCTGCGCTCGCTGCCGCGCTTGCTGCTGCTGCTGCTGCTGCTGCAGCTCTGCTGCTGCCACTTACTTGTGCTGCAGAGTATGCAGTTGTTGCTGTTGCTGCTGCTGCTGCTGCTGCTGCTTGTGGGGTTACATGCCCTTCGTGTTGCTGCAGGCACTGACCAAGAAGCAGCAGCAACAACCGCTGCTGCTGCTGCTGCTGCTGCTGCAGTTGTTGCTGCTGCTGCTGCTGCTGCCGAGACTAGCAGCAAACGTTCTTCCTCCAGTGTGTCTATTGTCTTCTCTTGTTCAGACGCAAGTAGAAACCCTAAACCCTAAACCCTAAACCCTAAACCCTAAACCCTAAACCCCACGACACGCCCGCGAGTTGCCCAGCCGCTGAGGGCTTCGGTGCCGTGCGAGACGCAGCAAGGGCCCACCCTAAACCCTAAACCCTAAACCCTAAACCCTAAACCCTAAACCCTTTTTCCCTGTTGCAACAAAATAAATAAAATGAGAAGGAAGGTCCTAAAAAGACACCCACAGGAGCCTCGCTCCGAGCCCAAACCCTAAACCCTAGAGCCCAAACCCTAAACCCTAAACCCTGCCGAGCCACGGCGGATGCACGCATGGCCTCAGGCGGGCAACTAGGGTTTAGGGTTTAGGGTTTAGGGTTTGCGTTTACGTTATAATTACTCATTTGTTATCTATTTTTCACCTCCCTATCCCCGAGTCTTGCCTCTATCGCTGCTGCTGCTGCTGCTGCTGCTGCTGCTGGTCCCCCCGCGGCCGACAGCTGCAGCAACTGCAGCAGCAGCAGCAGCAGCAGCAGCTGCAGCACAAAGACAACCTTTTGTACCCTTTGGGGTGGGGCCCCCTGGGGCCCCATGGAATCCGCAGCGGTGCCTTTGGCTGCAGCAGCAGCAGCAGCAGCAGCAGCAGCAGATGCAGCAGCAGCAACAGCTGCAGCAGCAACGACAGATGCAGCAACAGCTGCAGCAACAGCAACAGATGCAGCAACTGCATCAGCAGCAACAGCTAGCCCTGCTGCTGCGCCGCGGGAAGCCGCTCCAGGCGCAGCAGCAGCAGCAGCGACAGCAGCAGGAGAAGAAGCTGCTGCAGCAGACGCAGCAGCAGAAGCTGCAGCAGCAGAAGCTGCAGCAGCAGCAGCAGAAGCTGCAGCAGCAGCAGCAGGTGTTGCTCCATTTGTGCTGGTAAAGGATTTGCTGCCGCAAAGTGGCTGCTGCTGCTGCTTAGTGCGCGTGCTGCAGTATCTCTCTCACAGTCTTCTCAAGTTGCCCTCAGGTAAACCCTAAACCCTAAACCCTAAACCCTAAACCCTAAACCCTAAACCCTAAAAGCTTGCTGGGGTTCCCGGAGCAGCAGCTTTCAGAAAAGCCCCAGGCTGTGGGGCAGCAAGTGCCGGGCGTTGAATGCGACTGGCCAGAAAGACCTCGGCTTAGGGTTTAGGGTTTAGGGTTTAGGGTTTAGGGTTTAGGGTTTAGGGTTTGTGCTGCGCAGGGTCGCTCGTGCAAACCACTGAAGCAGTTGTGGCTGACGAGACAGGAGCGGTTTTGCTGCTGCTGGAGACGGAGGCGCAGCGCCGCCTTTGCCAAGTAAACCCTAAACCCTAAACCCTAAACCCTAAACCCTCGAAGGCCTAAACGCCAAACCCTCAAGGCCCCAAACCCTAAACCCTAAACCCTAACTGCCGAAGGCGGCAGTCGGAAGCCTTGAGGTGTTTTCACAAAAGGCTCGGGTGCTGCTCTTCAGGGCCCCGGCTGAGGCCTAGGGTTTAGGGTTTAGGGTTTAGGGTTTAGGGTTTAGGGTTTGGATGTGTTTCAGCCCGGGACAGAAGTGCTGCTGCTCAACGTGACGGTCTGCTGCGTCGGGGGTTTTGTTTGTTTGCTGCTGCGGGGAGGAGAGGCAGCAGCAGTAGTCCGCAGACCCGCTGCTGCTGCTGCTGCTGCTGCTGCTGCTGCTGCTGCTGCTGCTGCTGCTGGGCCTGTGCAGCAGCAGCAGCTGCCTCCGCTGCTGCAGCTAAGGCAAATGCAGCCGCTGCCAACTCCGATTCAGCGCATCCGCAACCGCTAGGTCTGCTGCTGTTGCTGCTGCTGCTGCTGTTGCTGCTGCTGACAGCAGCAACGCCTGCAGGCCGCAGCAGCAGCAGCAGCAGCAGCAGCAGCAGCAGGGATGTTGCTTTTTTTTTGTCCCCTTCGCATTTAACTCTGCAAGGCAAATTCATTAAAGCCGCGGCAGTCACAATAGAAACAGTGCAGCGGGAGCTGCTGCTGCTGTTGCTGCTGCTGCTGTTGCTGCTGCTGCTGTTGCTGCTGCTGCTGCAACGATGGCATTCGCTGGTCAGCGACACAGGCATGGCCAGAACGTGCTGCTGCTGCTGCTGCGGCGGCTGCTGCTGCTGCTGCTGCGGAGACGGTCTTCGTTGCTGCTGCTGCCAGTTCCTGGGCTGCCTTGACGGCTGCTGCAGCAGCAGCAGCAGCAGCAGCAGCAGCAGCAGCAGCAGCAGCAGCAGCTAGAAGGGGGGCAGCCTGCCCTGAAAGATTGTGGGGTAGTCGGGGTAAATGGACTCAAACTCTGGAGGGTTTGCTTCCTCGCTGTACAGCAGCGCCTTGTACAGAGACACTATTCCATTCACTTCGCAAGCTCCTGCAGCAGCAGCAGCAGCAGCAGCAGCAGCAGCAGCAGCAGCAGCAGCAGCAGCAGCAAAGGAGAGAGCGAGCCAAATTAGCTGGCTGCACGTGCGGCTTCTTGCTTTGCCACGGACTCCCGGTGGCGCTCCATCTGGGCGGCTAGCTAGCTAGCTAGCTAGCCAGCTAGCTAGCAATCTAGCTTCACAGCTAGCTAGCTAGCTAGCTAGCTAGCTAGCTGGCTAGCTGTGAAGCAAGATGGCTGGCTGCGTGGATAGCTAACTAATTAGCTCCATGGCTAGCTGGCTAGCTAGCTAGCTAGCTAGCTAAGTGCCTACGTTGCTGCACGGCTAGCCAGCCAGCCAGCAGTCTGTCTAGCTAGCTAGGTAGCTAGCTACCTATTACAGCTAGCTAGCTGGCTAGCTGTCCAGCTGGCTAGCTAGCTGGCTAGCTGGCTGGCTCGCTAGCTAGTTGGCCAGCTAGCTAGCTGGCTGTCTAGCTAGCTGCCCAGCGAACTGGCTGGCTGGCTAGCTATCTAGCTGTCTATCTGGCCGCATAGCTAGCTGCGAGCTAGCTAGCTGGGCAGGTGGCTAGCTGACTAGCTGGCTAGCTAGCTATCTGGCTGTCTAGCTAGCTAGCTAGTTAGCTGTCTAGCTAGCTAGCTGTCTAGCTAGCTAGCTAGCTGTCTAGCTGTCTAGCTAGCTAGCTAGCTAGCTAGCTAGCCGTCTAGCTAGCTAGCTAGACAGCTAGACAGCTGGCTGTCCATCTAGCTGCCAGCTAGCTGCCAGCTAGCTAGCTGCCAGCTAGCTAGCTAGCTAGCTAGCTAGCTAGCTAGCTGACCTGCGAGCCGGAAGGACTGGGTGGTGGAGTAGAGCAAAGTCTTCTTGACCTTAACAGCAGGAGCTTCTGCTGCTCGCAGCTGCTGCTGCAGCTGCAGCGGCAGCTGCAGCTGCTGCAGCGGCAGCTGCAGCGCAGCAAAGCCAAACCCCGGCAGCTCTCGAGCTTCTGCCTTTCCCCCCAAGGGTTCTCCCCTTTCTAGGCCCCCAGCTAAACCCTTTTCGGGGGGCCCCCCCCTGGGGGGCCCCCCCGGGGGGCCCCCCGGGGGGCCCCATGAAGGACTCCTGCTGCTGCTGCTGCTGCTGCTGCTGCTGCTGCTGCTGCTGCTGCTTTCGGCGCTTGGCGCTGTGTCTGAGTCTGCGCCTGGGGGCCGCTGCTGCTGCTGCTGCTGCTGCTGCTGCTGCTGCTGCTGCTGCTGCTGCTGTGTCCTTGCGGGGGGTGTCCCTCAAGTTGTAGCTGTAGGCCGAGGGGCCCCTGAAGGACTGGGGGGAGTGCAGCATGGAAAGAGACATGTCTCCAAGAGTCTCCTCGTCTCCCCTCAAAGAAGCCACGATCTGCATGCAGCCCCACACGCAGCAGCAGCTCCAGCAGCAGCAGCAGCAGCAGCAGCAGCAGCAGCAGCAGCAGCAGCAGCAGCGGCGGCGAAGGCGGCGGCAGCGGAGCAGCAGCAGCAGCAGCGCTAGGGGCAGCCTTCAAGCAAGGTGCTGCCGCGCGGGGACAGAGACACACGGAGACACGCAACCGCAGACACCAGCAGCAGCAGCAGCAGCAGCAGCAGCAGCAGCAGCAGCAGCAACAGCAGCAGCAGCAGCAGCGAAGCGCACCTTCCCCCGCTGCAGCAATTCACCCCAAATAGCAACAGCAGCGCCACCGGCAATGGCAGCAGCATAGGAAGTTCCGTCCACAAAGACGTAACCTAACAGCAGCAGCAGCAGCAGCAACAGCAGCAGCAGCAGCAGCAGCAGCAGATCATGAGACTGGCAGTTCTGTAGCTCTTTCCAGCAACAGCAAAGAGAGCAGCACCCGCAGCAGCAGCAGCAGCAGCAGCAGCGCCAAATAACATCAGGAAGGCGCAAGCAGGCTAACAGCAAAAGGAGCAGAGACAGCAGCAGCAGCAGCAACAGCAGCAGCAACAGCAGCAGCAGCAGCAACAGCAGCAACAGCAGCAGCACATTTCCCCACAGTTGTTGCAGGTGTTGCTGGCAGGCTCTCCCTGAACGACTGTGGCAGTGTACAGACGGTGGCCTGCAGCAGCAGCAGCAGCAGCAGCAGCAGCAGCAGCAGCAAGACGTGTGGGGGCAGCGTCAACTGCAGCTAGAGAAGCAACAAAACCAGCAGCAGCAGCAGCAGCAGTATGTATGAGCAGCACCAACAGCAGCAGAATGGGCAGCAGCAAGAGCAGCACAAGCAGCACGGGAAGCAGCAGCAGCAGTGTTGACTGCAGCAGCAGCAGCAGCAGCAGCAGCAGCTGCAGCACCAGTCAATGCGAAAGCCTATGGGTCTGTTGTTTCTTAAAAGGGGAATTGAGCTCTAAGTTTCCGGCCTCTAAATTCAGAGACTAGGGTTTAGGGTTTAGGGTTTAGGGTTTAGGGCTTTATATTTAAGTGTTCGAGTTTAGGACTTACAGCTTCTGGTACTGCGATTGATATTTAGGGTTTAGGGTTTGCTGCTTCATATTCAGGGGCAGGGGTTTAGGGTTTACGCTTAATAGCTTCAGGCTTGGGGTCTAGGGTTTAGGGTTTAGGGTTTAGGGTTTAGGGTTTGGACCTGGGGCAAAAAGATGCACAGTGTGTTTGCCGTAGCTGCTGGTGCCTGCTGCCTAGGGCCCAGCGTCTAGTGCCTAGTGCCCACAGCCTAGGGTTTAGGGTTTAGGGTTTAGGGTTTAGGGTTTGGACCTGGGGCAAAAAGATGCACAGTGTGTTTGCCGTAGCTGCTGGT